TTCTCAATCAAAATCTATCATAAGCATCTGTTTGCTAAATCAGCTGTTATGTGACTTAGTTTACTTCTAGTCGCCGATGGCCGCGACTTAAGTTTAACTTAAGTTGAACTTAAGATTTGCTCAAAAAGTGGTTGGTGAAAAGCAAAATCTTAAGTTAGACTTAAGTTCAGCTAAAAAATGCATTGCAAAACCGCCAGGGGTTCCCAAACTTTTTTTCACGGCGGCACCCTTGTTGTGCTACACAAATTTCGTGGCACCACTACTCTTCAAATGTCTACGAAAACCAGAAAACACAGTGCAGTCTTTATGCTCCTTTAGCTTTGATGTGAGGACTGAAATTGTTTTGATGATTTTTTTAATTCCTTTAAGTGTTTGGGAGCTTTGACAATTTTACCCTGAAATCATTTGACACTGAAAGCTTGCTGGTGTATTTGTTTTTAACCGACTTACTAAAAAGGAGAAGGTTATCAATTCGTCGGAATATTTTTATACCCGAGCGCACTTGCGCACAAGGGTATATTAAGTTTGTTCACATAACGGTTGTTTGTAGCAGCCAAAACGAATAGACAAATGTATACATAAATGCTCAGAATGAATAGGGAAGTCGAACAAGCCATGTCTGTCTGTCCGTCCGTCTGTCCATCCGTCCGTGTACACGATAACTCGAGCAAAAATTGAGATATCTCAACGAAATTTGGTATGTAGGTTTACATTTATTCTAGGTAGGTTGGTATTGAAAATGGGCGAAATCGGATTGTGCCCACGCCCACTTCCCATACAACGGTAATTTTCAGAAATACGAAAACTGCGATATTTTAGTAGCCTGAAGATTATTCACTCAAAATTGATATTTACAATAAATTGTAGACGAAAAAAATAATATTATAAATTTTTGGAAAATGGGCGTAGCCACGCCCACTTAATATTACATGTGTATATCTTCGTAACCGCTGCACCAATTTCTTCCAAATTTGGCACAGTTGTTGGCAAACTGGCCGAAAAATTTTAAAATCGGACAATAACAACGCCCACATTCCATATGAAGGCAATTTACAGAAATACAAAATCTTCGATAAATCAGTAATTATTAAAGCTAATTTATTCTTAATTAATACTTGCAACAATTCTTTACCAAGAAATACGTTTATGATACAATTTTGGAAAATGGGCGTGGCACCGCCCACTTATCACATATATGTATCCCGGTAACCGTTCTACCAATTTGTACCAAACTTGGTATGGTTATTATGCTTGCCACATAAAAACAAAACGTTGAAAATGATTTAAATCGGACTAAAATTGAAGCCGCTTTTCATATAACGGTAAATTTCAGAACTGCTTGAAACTTCAATACTTCGAAATTTAAGGACTCTAATTTACTCAAAATTGATACACCCCGGCTTACCATGTAATCGGTAGCTTTCGGAAAGGTGAAAGTCATATACTTAATACTTGCGCCGGGTATTTAATGTTCGGCTCCGCCCGAGCTTAGACTTTCTTACTTGTTTTTTATTATTTTTTTATGTATGCTACCGCATAACTTTGGACAACGTTAACCGATTACTATAGTTCTTTTTTTTTTAAGGAAAGGAAAACTAACCTTACAAGTGGTCCCATTCTAATTTGGTTTTTGCTTAAAAATTACTTGCTTATGCAAGCATTTGTTAAAATGCAATCTCACAAAGAAATGTAAAAGTAAAAGTCACTAGTATTTTGAATGCAATCTTGCCAACAGCAGTGTTTTATGCATATACTTGCATCCAGAACTCTCTCGGGTCCCTTCGTTGTATTTAATATTCAATATGCTGTCTTCACTGATATCCAGAAGGGTTTCAAAAGCTTAATTTGTCATCTCAGTAGGTTCGCTTTTCGGGTCACATGAAAACGGGTTCGCTATCCAGATGTAGACATCCTCAGAGTCACTATTGGGAAAATATTCGACAATGGTTTTTTCTAAACCTTCCAAGTTAACGCTGGTAATGCGCGTTAACGCTAAGAAAATAACTTTTACAGCCAATTTCACGGAAGCAATTCAAGTGAAAAATTATTTAATTTTGTTTAATTTCAATTGGAAATTGACAGAAAATAAAAAATCATTTTCCATTTAAATTGCTGGTGAAACCGGCTATTATCAATTTTCTTGGCGTTAACTTCGAAGTTACAAACGTTTTTCCGATTTACTTTGTTTACTTATGGGATTTTCATGCAAAATGTTAGAAATTATAAAATATACTTACATGTCACCAATAAAAAAAAAAATCTCAACGTGCCAGAAAAAAACCAAAGATGTATTTTAGTTTCGCAGGCCTCTGTTATCATCGCAGCGTCATCCAATACGGGTTTTAAATCTAGTGGCGGCATCTTGCTAGTCACCAGGGAATACCGACGGATCATAAAATGACTTCTCGTGGCGTTTTCTGCCTCTTGCCTCATCCTAGACATCCTCCTCCTTTCGTTTTTCCAACCACTACAAATGTCCGTACACTTGCTCTATTTCAAACTATTTTCCTTTACAAATTTGTCGATAGCTTTAAAAATTTCGTCGCTAGTCTCAAGTACTTCGCTCATCAAAAGTTCTTCGATTTCCATTGCGAATGGGTACCTCACTAACAAGAGAAGAACATTAAGTCTCACTACGTCGGTTATTTTGTCAGGTTGCAAACTAAAAAATTCAGAAGTTTTCAAGATTTTTATAAGTTCGTAATCGACTGCCTCTAAAATCGTCTTCATTCGCTCTTTCACAGTGTGATTGTGAAGTTCCAAAGAATAAGTAACATATACACGAGCGCGAAGCTGATGCGCTTGTTACGAGAACAGCCCAGCTAGCAAAAAAATCCAAAAATTAGTCCGAAAACGGGAAGAAAAGTGGATGAAAAGCGGATTAGGTCTACAAAAGCACCGAAAATGGTTGTGAAAAGGGTACGTTTTCGGTTTTTTTTCTGAAAATTTTCTGATTCAATTTTTCGTTGACAAAATGTACTAGGCAACTACGCTTAAGAGCGAAATACACACACCACACAAGCGGCAGAAGACAATTTCTCTCTTTTCTTAAATGTGCGCCTGAAAGTACCGAGAGATTCACTAAAATCTAAAACAATAGTTTAAAGCATTAATAAATAAATGAATGTGCAACTGTCTGTGACCAAAAATAAAAATTTGGTTAGTGAGATTTTTCCAAATTTGTAAAAGTACAATCGAGCCGTACATTGAGACCTTCTGGAATGGAAACATGGTGATTGAGCAAAAACTTCTACAGGCTCGACTTGTACGTGTTCCATCGTGGATTGCCAGAGGCTGCCTTATTGGATCATCGATATTTTATACGTCAGATTAAAGGTAATTTTGTGTACTTTAAAAAAGTATACGTACTATTAACAGATCTATTCTGCGCTGGTAATAAAAATTTTGTAACCGGTAAATAAAGTTCCTGTCAATTTTTAAACCCTTTTCGCATTCTGTGTCCTCTTGTAACCGATAAAATTTGTTACCATGTCATACGCTGGTAACAAAATATTGCCCCGTGAAATGTGAAATGCCAAACTTTCCAGAATTCTTCATAGCTGAATTGCTGAATATTTTAATTGCATTACCGACGTACCTAGAATGGCGGTGACAAGAACTGGTAACATTTCTTGGTAATAAAAGTTTCCAGTTACAAGATCTTCCGTAACGTGCAAAATAGACCTGTAAGTGTAAAAATGCGAAGGAACTGAGTAATTTGTGAAAAACATACATCAAAAAAGAAAATTTCCACTTTGCTACTTAATAGTTTTTTATCTATTTGTTAAAAGAAAAAAATTTTTGTATAAAAAAACGGGGAATTTCATTACAAACAGAATGGTAGTTGTTCTCTTGCGTGTGACAAATAGCAGTCGAGATATTTGCAAAAATGTGAAGAAAAACGTTTTTTGCATAACTTTGCAAAAAACATTCGCACAGCACTGCAAATTTAGATTTAACTTCTATTCATAACTAAATTCGTGCATGGTATGCAAACTGAGGCCCGTTTCCACGACGATTCGACTGGACTAATATGTACAAAATCGTATTTTATCAATTTTTTCATTAAAAAAATGTATTACATTTATTATTAATTGTACTTATGAAGCTACGAAAAATATAAATAAATAAATCAAAAGCTTTACTCCATTGCACAGGGATAGGGTATATTATAGGGCTGTGCGATTATTCGATTACTCGAGCAAGTTGGTTAATCACTTATTCGGTTAATCAATTACTCGAGTAATCAAGATTTTGATTACTCAAAACGATAATTAATCGAGTTACTTGAAATATGATTACTCAAAAAAAATAATTTTGCTCGTTAAAAGAGTTTGCTTTGGAAAATGCTTATTTTCTTTTTTTACATTCTGTATATGAAAAAAATTTTTTGTTTTAATTTTTGAAAACAGAAACGTTGTTTTCAAAGTATCAAGGAACTTTAGCTACTTTATACATATGTAAAGAGTTGAAATGTTGATTACTCATTTTACTCGAAATGTTGATTAATCATAAAGCAAATTACTCAAATATTTTTGTTTTTGGTTAATCAAAAATCTTGATTACTCGAGTAACTGAACTTTTGAGTAATCATAATTTCCAATTAATCGAATAATTGAGTTATTTACTTTATGATTAATTAAAATTTTGAGTAATCAATTAATCGCACAGCCCTAGTATATTAAATTAATAGGAAATTAAAAATTAGGAATTATAATTAAAATTATTCACAGCTTGAATTAGAAGTTGAAGCAGAGGTTAGGATAGAGGTTGAGGTATTTAGAGGTAGAGGTTGCGGTTCTGGTTGTTATTGTTGTAGCCTTTTCGAAGGTACTTTTTTGCTGAAGCCGATGATGGGCACGCACCACGGCTTTGCGTAAGCTCTTCTCAAATTCTAAAGAGCTTTGTGTTGAGAAAACATCTAAAATTTAAATGCAAAGGGATACATGTAAAAAAATATATAGGTTTTTTTTAGAATAAAATGTATACCGCGCAGTCTTATTCACAAAGGTTAGTTGGCACAGCGCCTGTTTCTCCCACGTTCCCTCCCAGTTATATTTTTGAAGAAGGTCATTTGTAAAGATGTTGCGGATTACGTTGCTGACATCCTCTGACGCCCCCTTAACCATGTGCAAATACATCGTCTGTGGAAAATTAAAATACAATCTTACACAATAAAGTATCAGGTTTGTTTGTTACCATTGTCTGAACAAATTCTGGTGACTGTAATCTTTGTTCCACTTCCAGCACTGCTGTGGTAGTATACAAGGGGATCATGCTAGCTACTTCGTCCATTTTGGAGTCTGCAACTTCCCCGGTCATGCGACAAACCTGATACTCAATTTTTTTTAGGGCCACTGCCCTCCGTTATGCCCTCAGCTAGCGCCATAGTTTGTGAGGTTTTGTCGATTTCCTCAAACGCAATAGCGATCCTCTCTTGATTGCCTACGAGTGTGTCCATCCCCTGGCTTAGTATGGATTGCTAATATGCGAGAAGAAAAAACTGTTAGTTTGAAAAAAAAAAATTTTACCAAAAGAAGAATAACCTACATATTCTTCGACGTTCGCCAGTCGGGTATTTGTTTCCCTTTGGGCGTGGACGAGCTCCCTCAATGTCTTCAGAATATCTTGAAAAATAAAAAATAAAAAGTGAATCAAATATTTATGTATATGTATATGTATGTATATGTATGTATTATAAACAAAACTATGATTAAATATATAAATTTATAAATATAAATTTTCCTTAACGTTTTGAACCGATGATGACGATGAGTGTATTCATCAGCGTCATAGATAATTCTTGGCAAAATATCTAAAAAATACAAGTTAGGAAATATATTTGCAGTTTTGTTTGCCCTCAAAAATGTTTCCCGAATGATCCATGTATTAAGAATAATAATTTAATAATTATTAAATTTTATTATTTTATGTTATGTTATGTTATGTTTATGATCAATAAAAATCAAATGAGCAGGTTAGTGTGAAAACTCGTTAAATAGATGGTGTAGAAGGGGTATGAGAAGAAACTTGCCACCAATAGGTATAGAGAAGTATTTAAACTCAATCTCTGTCATCGTAACTACTGTGGTTTTACTACTCAAATCACTGGCAACAACTATATCTAAACCACTAAATGACTGTAAAGTTTGCTCGAAATAGTTTTCAGTAACTTGGAAATTGTTACACACATAGTAATTTTCAGGATTCATTTGGGCAATTTTTCATGAAACCAAAGCAATTTTTCCCTTCCTTATGGTCAATACTGTATATGTAATATTGTGTATGTGCACCACAGAAGCGGAATTTTAAAAGATAATTAATAATAATAAATAAGAAATTTAATAAATATTAATACAATGAAAAAAAGGCATCTCCAAAATTGCCTGTCAAAAGAAAAAAGGGCTTTTGAGCCCAATGTAAAAAAATATAAAGATTTGATAAAAGTGGAATGAGCAGGTGTTAGTGGTTCCATGTGTTTAGAAAATGTAGCGTCCACGTTTTCTGGTGGATGCATTTCTTTTCCTAGTGCAAATGATGCGATTTCTTTAGAAAATGTAGCATCTACGTCTGCGGGTGGGTGCATTTCTTTCCCTGCTGTCAGTGGAAACTTACCGTCAGCATCAACATTTTCAGAACACTTTTGTCCAAGTGAGCGCGAGTGGGGTGAATTTTCCGAAACAGATAGTGTAGATTCTTACTCAGATCCTAAAGCTTCCACTTCCTCAGCGGCCGATTCGCACCCTGTCACAAATGTTGGAAGCAACGAAAAATGTGCGTTAGAGGACTATACGCTGAGAAAGGTAGGAGTGAAAGATTTGCTTTTATCGGCCAAAACTCTTCTCTGTACGAGTAAGGAAGAAATGCAAATTTCAAATATTCCCAGTGAGGAATTTTTTTTATTTAGGTATCCAAAAATATTTTCTTTCATCGTCGTTCGGATTTTTGGATGGAAAAGAAGAAGTTTCAGTCGATGTAGGTGTAGATGGTTTAAAAGTGTTTAAAAGTTCAAACAGAGTCTTGTGGCCTATTCTTGGTGCAATTGTAGGATTTCCTGGTATTAGTCCTTTCATGATCGGCTGTTTTTCCAGTTTTAAGAAACCTGAGAATATAGACGACTTTATGGCAAAGTTTTCTGCAGAAATAAAATTACTTCAATAAAAGGGCATCAATATGGGGTTTAACCAGAATTTATTGCGGTTCAATGTTCGTCTCTTTGTTTGTGACTCTCCAGCCAGGGCATATGTATGTGATAGGTATCGTTTTTCATAGTGCAAAAAATGGTTGTCCGGAATGCGATCTGAGGGATTTATATAAAAATAAAAGGGTTTGTTTTTTGAAAGAAGTTGGATGTTTAAGGTCAGACATAACATTTAAACTAAGACACGATCCTTCTCACCACGTAGACCAATTTAACACGAAAATGAGTATTTTTGAGGAATCAGGTTTTTGAATGGTTTCACAATTTCCTTTGGATAGCATGCATTTGGTTGGCCAGGGGGTCACTAAAAATTGCTTAAATTTTTAATCTTAATGATAGATAACATTAATAGGGAACTTAGTTTTGTCGGGGAGTTTGTTCCATCAGAATTTCGTCGAGTACCTAGAACTTTGGAAGAATATATATGTTTGTAAGTCTACTGAGTTTAAACAATTTTTGCTATATACGGGTATTTTCGTTTTGAATGGTTCTATAAGTAATAATCGATATTATCACTCCCTATTATTGCATAGTGGTATAAGACTATTTTCCAATGAGAGATCGCATCAAAGAGAGACGGATATTTCACAAAAAAATATTGGAAGATTTTGTAAAATTTTGTAGTTAGCTTTAATGCCCATGGAATTCTCCTTTTAACGGATTGCCTCAAACAATTTGGCCACTGGATTCTTTTTCTGCCTACATATTCGAAAATTATATGCAGTAGATATATTAAAAAATGATAAGCCTAAAAAAATTTTGCAGCAGATATTGCTTAGGCTCGAAGAAAGACAAAGTCTTAGGTCAGTTTTGAAGCCTTCTTCTAGATTTCGGTGCTTCAGTAAAAAAAACAAGGCCCATGAAAGTAATTGCCCAAATGAATTCTGAAAATTACATATATGTGTAAAAATTTTCAAGCCACTGAAAACTACTTCGAGCAACCTTTACAGTTATTTAGTGGTCTAGGTATAGTTGTTGCCAGTGATTTGTGTAGTCAAACCACTGTAGTTACGATGACAGAGATTGAGTTTAAATACTTCTCTATACCTATTGGTGTCAAGTTTCGTCTCATACCCCTTCTACACCATCTATTTAACGAGTTTTCACACTAACCTGCACATTTAATTTTTATTGATCATACACATAACATAACATAATAAAATTTAATAATTATTAAATAATTATTCTTAATACATGGATCATTCGGGAAACATTTTTGAGGGCACTCAAGAGGAAAACGGCAAGCAAACAAAGTTTTAAACAAAACCGCAAATATATTTCCTAACTTATATTTTTAAGATATTTTGCCAAGAATTAGTTACGACGCCGTACATGAGCGTATTCCGAACTCCTCGTCATGCTCGGTTCAAAACGGTAAGGAAAATTTATATTTATAAATTTATATATTTAATCATAATTTTGATTATAATACATACATATATACATATACATACATATTTGATAAACATTTTATTTTATTAATTTTTTTCAAGATATTCTGAAAACATTGAGGGAGCTCGTGAACGCCCAAAGGGAAACAAATACCCGGCTGACGAAAGTTGAAGAATGTGTAGGTTATTCTTCTTTTGGTAATTTTTTTTTTTCAAACTAACAGTTTTTTCTTCTCGCATATTAGCAATCCATACCAAGCCAGGGGATGGACACACTCGTAGGCAATCAAGAGAGGATCGCTATTGCGTTTGAGGAAATCGACAAAACCTCACAAACTATGGCGCTAGCTGAGGGCATAACGGAGGGCCTAAAAAAAATTGACTATCAGGTTTTTCGCATTACCGAGGAAGTTGCAGACTCCAAAATGAACGAAGTAGCTAGCATGATCCCTTTGCATACTACCACAGCAGTGCTGGAAGTGGAACAAAGATTACAGTCACCAGACTTTGTTCAAACAATGGTAACAAACAAACCTGATACTTTAATGTTTAAGATTTAATTTTAATTTTCCACAGACGATGTATTTGCACAAGGTTAAGGGGGCGTCAGAGGATGTCAGCAGCGTAATCCGCAACATCTTTACAGATGACCTTCTTCAAAAATATAACTGGGAGGGAACGTGGGAGAAACAGGCGCTGTGCCAACTAACCTTTGTGAATAAGACTCTGCGCGGTATACAATTTATTCTAAAAAAAAACATATATTTTTTTACATGTATCCCTTTGTATTTAAATTTTAGATGTTTTCTCAACACAAGGCCCTTTAGAATTTGAGAAGAGCTTACGCAAAGCAGTGGTGCGTGCCCATCATCGCCTTCAGCAAAAAAAGTACCTTCGAAAAAGCAAAACATCGGCTGCAGCTGCTACAACAACAACCAAAACCGCAGCCTCTACATCAACCTCTATCCTAACCTTTGCTTCAACTTCTAATTCAAGCTGTGAATAATTTTAATTACCCCAGTAAAAGATTTATATGCGCAATAGTTCAACTTCAACTAGTTAAATGAAAAACCAATACTAGATCTTTGATGTTTTTTCCCAATAATTGTATTCATTACGTCTATCAAAAGAATATAAAAAACTTTATAAATATACGTTAGTTTATAACAACATAATTTAATTGTACCATTATGTTGAAATTTCCGTATAAAATATTTATATGTGCAAAGAAACAAGTTTTAGGTTACCGATCATTTTAAAAAAAGTTTTAAAGATAATTTTATTTGTTGGTATTGGATTGTATTTCTATTACACAATTTTATTTTTTTTGCGCTTTGCGGCATATATTTTACAGAAATGTTGTAGTGAAATTTATATTATTTCTGTCTATTTGTGAAGTTTGGTTTATTTAAGTTTCACCACGTTTTAATTCTTTTTTGAATAAGTAAAAATCGTGTTGAGAAGTTCATCCTACAAATCCCCAGTGGTATTAAAGCGCATATTTGAAGTTAGTTACTCTAAAAGAAGGTATTTTGTTCGTTTAATAACGAATTACGCCGACGATTGCTCGATCATGGCGACTGGGTATAGAATTGATGACTTGTGTTCGAAAGTAAACCGGTATCTCTCCGAGCTTTCTCGCTTCTTCCCTCCCTGACCTTGTTCACCACCTGGACGAAGAAGGTCACGCTACCGCTGGGAATTCACATCGATGATACACCAATTCCGACGGTGAATAACCCCAAAATACTCGGAGTATCCTTCGACAGTCTGCTCTCCTTCTCTGCGCACGCAACCGCTATTGTAAACAAAGTACAGAGCTGCAACAAGGTCCTCAAGTCGCTAGCCGGCAGTACTTGGGGCAAAGACAAAGAAACGTTGCTGTCAACATACAAGGCAATAGGCCGGCCGGTTTTAAATTACGCAGCACCAGTGTGGTCGCCGGGGACTAGTAGGACGCACTGGACGAAGCTGCAGACGACGCAAAACACCGCACTACGGACAGCGACTGGATGCCTTCTGATGTCGCCTGAACACCACCTACACGACGAGACGAAATT